TACCCTCAGACTAGCTCCTTAGGAACCTTAAATACGCCCCTTTTGGCTATTTTCTTTGATGCCGTAGTAAGGTAGGATTTGATGTTTTCCTTGATCTCTAGGTCCTGGAATGGCATAGAGGGACAGGCTGCTCTGTTAAGTGACTTGCAGCCCACAGCAGGGACCAGGAACCTGCTGTGCTATGCAGTGGAGCCAATGAAGTGAGGATCTCTTCATGTTTTCTCCTATTCTGCTCCGCCTACTTCAAGTGAAATCATGACAGAGATCTCAAAGCTGTCTCATTATCCACATTCAGTATCTTAAAATTCTCAGTTGCCACAGTGCTAGAAAGAAACTTGGCAAAGGATGAGCTGCTGGTATGCTGGCAATACTACCATCATGCTAATCAGTACCATCTCATTATTTTTTCTTGTACCTCTAGTGGTCCATGCCTGTACATCATCCTTTTGTCCTGTAACTTAGACTTGAAGCTATCACACGTGTAGACTGTCACAGTTGTGTGTTGTAAAATACATAATTATCATCTAGGCATGGGTCTCCAGTACAGTAGTATAGAAAATAAAACCTATGTGATGTGAAAAAAGAAAGGTCCCTTGATTAGGTATTCCTTTACTGATACTTGTAAGTAACTCCTGCATGGAGTACAGCATAGAATATATTCAAATCAGTACAAAACATCATACTTCACAGCTTAAAGGAAAAAAAAAGACAGCTAAAGAATAGAGAGTACCAGTAAAGATTTACTTCAAGATCATGAAGTCTTTTTTTTTTTTAACTGTTTCTGTTGACTTAATTATGTTAGAGAAGTCTGAGTTACTGTTTCAGAATGATCTTCGTAATAACAGCTGGTGCCTAGGCAATAGGGAACAATTTATCTTTCTCAAGTAAGATGTGAACTTTGCCGCTGTTGGTCGTGCTCTTGGAATCTTTGGTAGCCAAATTTAGCCTCATTTACCTTGACTGTCCCACAACTTTTTCTAAGTCAGCCTGCCAAAGGGGAAGAGGAAATGCTTTCACTTTAGAGCCCTTCGAAGTCTGGACAAAAGCTCACTTTCTGTTTCCCAGGTTTCCTATATATGGCTTTAGCCTCGAGATGAGGACCTGCTCACTATGCGCCCTCTCCCACCCCCCGTTTCCTGCCTGGGTTCATTAAACGCTGATTTGAAGTTGGCACACGCTCTTCTGATACAACAGTAGTACTGTGTTCCAGGAGCCATCGGAAAGTAGTGCGTTATTATCTTTCACATTCCCTTCATATATATGCCCTCTTCCTATGTGTAGAAAGGATTTTTATCCCTTCTTCTTAAATACCTCTGTGTGTTTAATAAAAAGAAACACTGAAGCAAAGCCCTGTCAAAAAAAAAAAACCACACGAGATCATTTGGGAGCAATCTGCCCCCAGGCTATATTCTTTAATGCTGGTGTCTGCAAATTGCTAATATTAAGCAAAGTGGGGTATAGGACATAATGACTTCACAGAATCGTTTCCCTATCTCTCATGTTGGTGTTTCAGTGTCATGTGTCTCAGGACAGAATAGTTTTCTTTCACCAGAGCAATGATGGTTGTTGTGATGAAATGTGTACATATAGAGAAGCCTGTATATTTTCCATTTTCAATGGTACAGTTGCTTACTTCTTTCCTGCTTCATGAAGCTGACCTAAATGATGAGAAAAATCTTTGGGATGCTGGCTGTCTTCTTCACCTGGAACCAAAGTCCTCAGTTCTGTAGAAATAATTACAAGTCACGCCAAGGAGTTATGTAACCAATCCTTGAGTTGCCTGTGATATCTTCTTTTGTTATTTAAACTAATATCTTGTGTTTATCTCATACTTGTTTCCCACTCACAGTCATTTAAAGAGTAATACGAGCTCATTATTACCAGCACTAAGAAAAAGAGTAAGCCAGGTAATAGCAATGAGAACGAACAAGCCATATTACTGCATCAGCTAGTTATTCCAAATCACGCTGCAGTTACATAAACAAAATAATTTTCAGGCTAGTCCTTCCTGAAAGCCACTCAAGGGAATATCTAAAATGGGTATCATCTGATTTCCATCGCGCTCAATGACATGGGCTTTGATGGCCTTCAGAGAAAATAGCTGTGTCTTTTCTTTGCGAGGAAACACTCTCAAATAATAACATGCATGAATTATTTTATCTTGGTTTATGGTTGTATCACTGCATAAAGTAATAGACTATAGGAAGGTCTTTTCAGTGATTTTGTAGTATTAATGGGGAAAAAAAAGGTTGATTTTTTGGGGCTTGTATCTGCATGAGGAAGCTGCTCCGCAGCAAGCTTCTGAGTGAAGCTTTAGCCTCAGCCTCAGAAGTTATTTGGCACTTGCTCCCTATGTGACACCTCCACATGGAGAATGCCTTTAGGTGATGAACATAGTCAACTTTGGCAGTGGATTTATTAAGCCAAGAAAAGATGCTAATAATGTGCAGCAGAGAATACGTAGAGGGACAGCTAATGCAAAACAGTTATTTGAACGTTACCCCTCTATAGACGATAAGGAAGATTAATCAATAATTCTTCACCATTTGCAGTAAAGGCTTTCCAAGAGCCTTGCAAATACTAGGGTAACAATTTAATTTTTAAAAAAAAAATTTGAAAGAATTATTTTCACTTTTTACTCACTTGTTTGCATTTCAGATTTTAAAAGATTAAAATGATTAAAAAGAATCTCTTGTATGTGCTCTGGGGCAGTCTGTGTGTGTGTATATATATATATACATTTATATTTTAGTCCACAGCTCTGTCCTTGAAGAAGAAAATACTTAATTTTACCTTGTAACTATCAGAAGAGAGTTGAAAATTATAGATGTTTTATTACTGCCTTCACATAGAGTACACTGGAGCACATAAGATTGCTGTTGTGATCTATGTCTCTCGCAGTAAACAATAATTCTGCCTCAGCTTTGGTGGGGCAGGACGGTATAGTCACCTCTACAGTTATGCACCCGGTCAGTGCCTCAGCCACAGGCAGGTATCAAGAAACCACTTTTCACTTCTGGATTTTGTCTGTTGGAGCAGACATCCTGTTTAGATTTATCTATTTAGTTACCTGAAATCTGAATTCATATTGCCAGCCATTGAGTCCTAGCTGGTGGTGTCTTGTAGGAGATGTTAAAGAAAGCCATTATTTGAAGCAAACACACTTCAAGCCCTGGCTTTGTTTTTTGTTGAGAGATTTATTTTATAATTTAGAAAGCACTCTTCTGCATGACTTTTCATTTTAAAATTGATTATTTCCATTTAAAAATTATCTTTGTCTTTCATGCAAGGGCTGTCTTCTCAGATGGCTAATAAATTCAGACATTGACATCAAAGTCTGCTTCTTCTGCTTGTATGATTGATTCAGATCCAGAATATGATGGGAATGTGGTTAAAATAGAAAGGCAATCACTGTGACTGAGCATGAAACATTGGTATAGAAGTGGAGCATTTGTGCAGTGAGTCTTGCAGAGGATTTGTATCCCATTAGCTCTGTCACAGTTCTGGAAACATTCTCCTAAATTTTGAGAGTATGGAACAGTATAAATCAAAATTAAAAAACTGAGTGAGCACCTTTTCTTCCAAATGTCACCGTACCTGCTGAAATTTGTGGTGAAAACATGTAGTATAATCTTAGTTCATTGTTGTTTTGCATTTTCAGTTCCACTGCAATTGCGTCTTAGCAAACGAGTTCTCTGTACTCTGTCACTAGACAGAGTGTTAACTGTCGTAGTAAATGATAAAAAATAATTTTCTTGTTAATATTTTTTATTATTAAAGATTTCCACTGGCCTGCGTATCTTGGTCTGAAATGTACTCAAGGCACAGGTCCCTTAGAAGGGATTGCAGCGGAGCTGCAGCCCCTTTGCTTTCCGCTGAGCATTTCTAACGTCCTCATCCCTGAGGGAACAAGCAGAACCATAGGACAAAGGTGTGAGATACTACTGAAATTAGAAGTGTATGATTGGCTTCCTGCCCTCAAGTGACAAAGAGCATAATGCTGAATTTTTTTCTTTGCTGCTAAGTCTTGCTCCTTTTTGGGGGGCTGGGCTTATGTCTGTGCATAGGAGAGAGAGTTGATCCCTGTTTCCAGCTTTCTCTATTTTAAGGTACTGCTTAGGCAAACCTCAATTCAAGAAAGTTCCAGAAAGGGAAATATCAACAAATTCTACTCCACAGTTATCTTTCACTATCTCTTATCAGCCTGTTTGGTAGAGGATTTACTTAGAAGAACAGATGAATAAGTACATGACCCATTTTATCTTGCTGAAAACATCACAAAATAAAAAGCACAGCAGAGCTTCATCTCTGACCTTCATATGAAAAGACCGTGTCCACTTGGGAAACAAAGGTGGAACTTGCCCAAGGTGCATTAAATGTAATCCTAGGTTTTCTGGGAATCAATCCTACTTCTTCATTTTCAGAGCATGTATTTTTCTGTGTAAATGTTTTTAGGACGCTGTCATAAATCTAGTTGTTTGGTGTATTACTCAGAAAACATTAAAGTTCTGGGCCTAAAATTGCTGACCAAGAAATGTTCTGCCAGCAAGGCTTGTCGTAATTTGTGTTTCTAAGAGGAATCAAAAGGAAGCAGTGGAGGCTTCTCCCTATTTCTGTCATCAGACCATAATCCAATTAGAGGGTTCCAAGTTCCAAGCTGTGTTTCCATCCAAGTTTTCACTTACAAGAGAGATAAAAATGATGTAGAATAAAAGTTGCATTCATCTTTAATTAATACCTATGAAATTAACAATAATTAATGGGTAACTTCAGAGTTTAAATTAGATTAAAAAGATGCTGGTATCCAAAGCTTTCCAGCTCTTTTGCTCTCTTTCCTAGCCCCCAGTCCAAAATGGAGTTGTGTGAGGAGCAGCAGGATGGCTGGAGAGGATGGACATTCAAATCTCTGCCTCCAGGACATCCTTGGATCACATGAAGTCCTACAGAGAATGTCACTGGTGTCTGACATGATCGTTTTATTTTCTTTCCTTCTTTTCCAGCTTCAGAGCCCAATTTGAAGGTACGTTCAAGGTTAAAACAAAAGGTGACAGAGAGGAGAAGCAGTCCTTTGCTCAGAAGGAAGGATGGAAGTGTCAGTTCATTCAAGAAGCGACTCTTTGAGGTGACAGGTAATTAAGAATGGAGAAATTCTGTCTCAGCTGCGACTGCTCATAGAAGAGC